TTCCATTAGGCAATTTAAAATTTGCTTTGCCACTTCCTTCAATCAAGTCTGTAGGACCCGATATTGTATTGACAATAATATTTGTCGGTTTTAATTCAGAGAAAAATCTCTGATGTCTCAGAATAGTGTGCGTTGTTCCACTATCTAGTATACAAATATCTTTGATATTTTTCCTTGCTATCGTTTTGTTTGAATCTTGATCCATTTCTCTGTAATCAATATAGACGTTAATAAATATAAGTAAATATTATTGATAATGAAAATATAGAATAATCATACACTAGTTCATTTTCAGAGACAACTTTATTTTCAAACAACAGAAATACATAAAACTTATATAATAGCATTACTGGAGACTAGTAGTCTCACTACAAGCACTATAGTTATCCGCGTGAGCGGTCTCATTAATCTTTTCCGCTATTAGGAGTGCCACAAATAAATCCGAAAATTTGGTATACCCGCATGACATATACAGTTCTTGTTGGGTAATGTGGTTTTCATGAAACGTGGTATACGTTTTCTCAAGCATCTGAGAATCGGTGATAATATCACCATAATATTTTAGTTTAACCACAATTTCCATCATAGCGGAATTATAATCCATCACTTTATCAAAGTCTTTGAACTTTAGATTTTGCCATTCATCCCGAACAAGTGGGAGATTTATTGCCTTTCGATTATCAAATCGAACTTTTAGGGATTCCCAGATCTCTTTGGGATCTTTTATGTGTGCATAATCACATATGATACTTTCATCAAGGTGTCTTAAAATAAAGATCACCGATTTTTCCCTTTCTTGAACCGTCGAAGTATTATTCTCTTTTACGGTGTTTATTAAGCCAAGAGATTGTAAATGTATGATGCAAGCGATTACAAAGAACACAACTGCATAGAAAAGTAAACTGATACTTATGATAAATTCTTAGGGAGTAAATTCTCCAACGAAAAGACCATAAGCACATGCAACAATTGCAATTAAGCAAAAAATTAAAAACAAGCGAATCATTTTCCAAAATAAAAACTTAAACAAATTTTTTAGAAAAATATATGAGGAGAGATATGATTTTTGAGTGAATGAAAGAGTGAAAATGAGTGTATTTATAGATTAAAAATTACTGTTCATAGCCGTTTGAAAAGTGATAAATTTTTGAAATTTTTTTCTTCATGACCGTTAGCGAAAAGATATAAACGAAAAATCAATCTGTAAATTTTAATAGCCAATCAGTTAAATTTACCAAATTCAGATAATAGGTTTTTATACAGGTGGCCGAGCCTCCTTATATATTAACCAAAATATAAATATAACAGAATTAAATTTTAACGGCAATATTGTGGTGACAGAGTCATCCACGTTATAGGCGGCTTAGCCGTCCATTGCTATGGTGTAGAAAACATCCATTATAACGATTACTTATAGGGGCGACATTCCTCCCACTATAGTAACGAGTAAATAACAAGGTCCGAACAACCACTAGAAAATAATATACATATATCTATATAAATTTTTTTTTCTTTTCTTTTCTCTTTTTTTTTTCTTTTTTTTTCTACTCATATTTTTTTTTTTTTTACGAGGCGACATACCGCCCGGTATAATACCGTATTTTTTTTTTCAGCGAACATAGAGTGATCGTGCTGATAACGTGTTATAAATAATTACTTTATTTTATGGTGTATATAAATATAAATAATGGAGAAAAAATTTATACCCGCAGAAGGATCGGATACTGAAAATAAAGAGATGAGAGGGAGAGAGATTATTACTTCTCTTGTAATTGAAGTAATGAATTGTGAAGGTGTGAATTACATCGAACGATTTCGATCGTTTATATAGAGGTAGAAAATATAAGTTACTATGCTGCATAGTGACGGTGGGCTCCACACAAAATATTATTTTACGATCGTTTACGCATGTGTATTTGATGTTGCAGCTTTAGTTGACTTTTACAACAAGAACTATTTTTTTTTTTTTTGGTAAGAAGCTAGTACTATTTATGTGATATTTAATTTTCATCAAATTCAAGTGATGTTAAGGCTATTTTTTATAACTTTTATAACCTTATGATTAGGGGAGTTTAATATGGTTTTTGTTTGGATAATTCAGGTTTTTAGCTATTTATTTTTGGTTTATATATTAAAGTGTCCAAACGAAAAACATAGTATATAAAAACTTGTAATTATCTTACATATGATCATATAATATTATTTAGGGAGTACATAATGAAAAGTAACCTTACTTTTTGTAAGTAATTACTTAAAATGTCATTAGAGATAAAATTTCAAAAAATAAATTAATTCATCTCATTAAGAAAAAACAAGTCAAATACTAATTTATGCAATTTAATTAATTTATTTTAATTATAAAAACAAAAATACATTGTTATTTTTTTAAAAATGACCAATCAAAGTGAACATATAAGATTTGATATTTAACTTACCA